TGCTATTTTCAATGACTACTTATTTTTGTCCAGCTTTAACATCGGTATCGATATCGGTTATCGGCTACATGAGTTTTAAAATATCGGATATCGGCCAAAATCCCAACATCGTGCATCCCTAGTTTTAGATAGAGGTTAAATGCACTCTAACTAAAACATAGCTAATTAAAAAGGTAGCAGTGCTTCTTCTATGCAAACTGACTTGCCTTGCTATTCTTACGCTTATGATGATTAAAAATGTGCATGCATTGCTGCAGCAATGTACATATTGGTCCATTTGTCTATCTTACAGGTTCGGTGCCTTGCCTTAAAGTACACGAACAAAAGTACACACGTGTTTCAGGAAAAAAAATATCAATTTAGTGACCCAATAGTTTTTTTTTTCATGAAGAGAAAACAATTTAACAGCTTCAGTCACTTTTTGTTTCTACAAATAACTTTCCAAAGAGGAAACTATAATCTTCAAATCAAATGTTCAAACCACCTGTAAGAGGTTTGTAAAATAATTTGTTCTGACCTGGTCTGGTTGTAGTCGGTGGCATTGACCAGCTGAGGGTGTGGTCTGAACACCAATTCGATCTCTGAGACGGGCCCCTCCTTGTGGCGTCTCAGAGGTGGGGTCGGGCTCCCACTGTCCGCCTCGGGGCCCGAGCCGTCATCAGAAGCCCGCTGCCGCTTGCGACTCGGCCCCGCCTCTGGGGGAGTCTGGCCCATGGGATGGGGCGTGTTGGAGGGGGCAGAGTCATGAGAGAGGTGTGAGCGAGAGTCGCCGTTATCCTCCCCGCCACTGAAGGTGGTGTTGTCACTCTCCTGAGTGGGTTTCTTTACTCTGTGATTCCTGTGAGGAGGTAAACACAGACACAAAAAACAAACTGAGAAATAACTTTTAAAATGTTTAACACCGTTTTAAAATGATGGAGATGTGATGATCTCATAATGTTTCCCAGGCAACGGTTCTGAATATAAACATTTTGGATGAAGAATTACACTTTCAAGTAACACAGAAATAACACAAGGGGGCAGCAGAAATCTGCTCAGAAGTCTATTAGTATGAGTTAATTCTTGAAAATAAATAACGGGATGCAGAAATAAAGCACCTGCAGATGATCATTTATGCTGATTGTGAATAATTAATATAACTCTAAATCACAGAAATCTATTCAATTCAATTCAGTTTATTTCTATAGCGCCAATTCACAACACATGTCATCTCAAGGCACTTTACAGTTCACCAGATCATCCAGTTAAATTGATTCAAGGTTTAATATCTAAGGAAAACCAGTTGATTGCATCGACTCATTGACTTAAAGGCAATTCCTCACACTAATCATGTTTGTAGCGACAGTAGAGAGGAAAAACTCCCCTTTAACAGGAAGAAACCTCCAGCAGAACCAGGCTCAGTGTGAGCGGCCGTCTGCCGAGGCCGACTGGGGTTTAAGGAGACAGAAGCTGAGATACAAAAAATCAACTGTAAAAGGCGGCCAGTCACAGTCAGAGAAACCGGACTACACTGAAAAACAGGCCGATCTCAAACACCTATAAACAAAGGTGTTGATGGCAGAAGCACAGCTGATATTTCTCTCCAGGATGAGGCAAGGCTGCTATGAGAGAATCTAAACTGAGAATTTGTGATATAAACTTTATAACTAGGCTTCAGTTAACAGTAAAAGCTTAAGAAAAACTGAGATAATAGCTGAATTATATCTGGGCCTGCTATTACAAAGTTTCATTTGACATCTTCATCCTTAAAATAAAGGTTTTTGTTTCTACCAGCTACAAAGTAAGCAGTCACTAAAAACTCAAAGATCTATTTAATGATTATAGAAAATGTTTCACTAAGTTAATAAAATTTTAAAAAGGCAGTAAATTAAGTTTCAGGACACATGTTTGTCGATAATAAATGTTGCTATGAATGCTAATATGTTAAAAACAACCAAGTTATAAACATGATTTAAGAACAAAAATGTACAGTGATGCAGAACAAAGCTTATTGGGAAGAAAAAAGAAACTCATTTAGATCACAGTCACCCTGATAACCTCCCTTCCCTCCCACACCTCTCGGACCTGTAGCGGGCCTGTTGGCGGAGCCCCTCCTCGATGCTGGAGCTCAGCGCTTCCTTGTTGTGCAGCCTGTTGAGCCTCTCGAGGACGGTCCGCTGATGGGCCTCATACTCATCACGACTCGGATAGATTTTTGAGATGAGTGCGTCAAAGTTGGAATCTCTGCGCAGTGAACGTCTGGAGACCAGTTTCTTCCTACAGGTTGGGCACTCCTTGTTCCTACAGTGCCATAAAGACAGGCAATAATATTCTCAAAGTGTGGTCAAATACTTATTCTACACCTAAATACATGTATGATTTTTTTTTTTTTTACATCAAAGTTGTCCAAATAATAATCAACATTACAATTAAGTTGTACAGCTTGGACCTCCACAACAAAGCAAACAGTGAATTAGTAGCTAAATAAAAGTTTAAATAAGAGTTCTTGGAAACGGAGATATCGCTAAAATCCTCCGCCCTGAATGACTCAGCATCAAATGGTATTTGTGCTTACCCAGATCTCAGAGCAGTGACAATGCAGTCTGAACAAAAGCGGTGCAGACACTCTTTGGTGGTCATTGTGTTCTTCAGCATGTCCAGGCAGATGGGACACATCAGCTCGCTGTGCAGCGAGCGAGGAGACACCGCCACTTCAGTCCCATCCACGATGGCCTCCTATGTACGCCCACAAATACAGCTTAATTCTGGTTTATATATATATATATATATCAGAATTATCAGTATTTTAAACACTACACAAAAAAGGAACAGTTGACATAAATAAATGTAGAAAAATATAAATTGTATTTGAACAATAAATTGGGGGGGGATTATAGATAATTAACAATGTGGCAAATATCAATAATCATAAACAATAACAATATTAATTCAAATAAACAGGGAGACGGGAGTTTTTAAATCAGACCGACAGACGGAAGCTGTTTTTGTCACGAGAGGTTTTGGCTTTAATGTGCCGCAGCCTCGTGACAGAGGGGAAGAGTCTGAATTAGTTTGTGTCTGAGGTGGGAGAAATAAACTCCAATGTTTCCTGCTTGCCTTGTTTTCCTGGATGCTTAAAATTCCTGACAAAAAGAGATATTACAGCCAATTTCCCTCTCAGTTCAGGAAATGATGGCTGCAGGCTGCCCTTGTTCCTGGTGGTGGCAGCAGAGTATAGGTAACGATGGACAAGGAGAGAATGGAAGGAAACCAAAAAATACATTCTCTGCTGGGCCTTCTCATGACAATTTATATTAAAACTGGTCCAATTTCTCCATTTCACTGAAAACCAATAATATTGTCTAACGATTAGAAATGGAATAAGGAAAAACCTTTTTACATTTGTGATTAAGAAAGGCATTTATAATCAGATTTATGACTTTTTTTTTAATCTCCATTTAGAAATATCAATTCCAGTATTTAATAATGGATTAATAAATAAAATTTATAATTCCTCTTTAGAAATTCAATTTAAAATTTGCAATTTGAAAATGCTTTTCAAATTAGATATCAAATTGCATGATTAAAATGTGAAATGGCTTGTTTTCTTATTTAGTAACTCTATATGTCCTCCATAGCAGATATCACGGTCAGTAAATATCGATGACAGATGGGAACATACCTGCCCTTTTCCTTTATGAAGGTGTATTACAAACATGTTATTAGTGTCACAAGGTGGTGGTTTATAACTCAAGGTGACAAATGTCAGGCACTGACTTTTCCCCTCTATCACATTTTTCACGACTTTAAACAAAGATTGTTCTAGGTCAGCAAGTCATGGTGACATACCGAAATGTTAGTGATGTCTGCGGCCTTCTTTAACAAAGACTACCTTTGTTTACCAAAACATAGCTGAGGTGTTATTCTCTTTTTGGTATACTCCTTTAAAATATGGAGTTTGAACCCCTCAACCCTGTTAGGTCAGATCCAACGTATGCATATCTATTAGAAACTCGACAAACATCCGCACGCAATTCACTTTTCACACATGATGAAACATTCTTGTCCTGTCAAGCATACAGAGAGTTTGATTAAGGTCTTATTGTTTGTTGCAGCTTACCTGAGGGCTCCTGTGAAGCTCATAAAGACTCAGCTCCCAGGTCTTACTTGGAGCCTGGACATTTACAGGAGCTGCCATGGCTGCTTCCAAAAATGACCGAACTAAAAATAAAAGAGAGAGAAGAATGTTTAATATTCTCATTAACAATTTTACCCCAAACGAATCAGTCACATTCTAAATGTTGAAGATATATTTTCCTTCCGTTCTCTAAATAATTCTGAAGTTACCTCCTTTACATGTGGGAATATTTGACATGAGGTCTTATGATCTTCAGGCTAAAAGTTGTTTTTTTTTGCAATAAGCATATTTTTGAACATGTTATCTTGTTTTACGATTTGTTAATAATTAAAAAGACAAGAGTGCAACATTTTTCCCAAAGTATAATCATGTTTAAAGCAGACTTTTCTCATGATTGTAATTCAATATAAATTAGCCTAACCAAAGCAAGCCATAAAAAAACATAGCTAATTAATAAATAATTGGCAGAAAAGCTTCTCCATTTGTTAGTATTTTAATGTTTTCAACCTACTAATGAATATATCAGAATTTCTCAAGACCCAGGTTATAGAGGCTGTTAAAATATTCCAGATATTTTTTAAGAAATACTAAGAATTTGTACAAAGAAACTACAGGGTGGAAACAGAACTTAAGGTCAGTGGTTTTGCAGCCTTGCTCCTCAGGATCCGCCGTCCTGTACGTGTTAGATGTGTTTCAGATGACAATGGGCCCCAAAGAGCAGGAGCAGGGTTGGGAGCCACTGCTTTAGGCAATAATAGCTTTTGACATCTAATTTCACAGTAAAACAAGCATGCACTGTGACAAACAAGATAACACAGCTTGAGGGTCACTGAACTTAAGTAGAGCACAGATCAGTCAGCAATATCTAGTAATGTTAACCAAGCATGTGTCAATAATTCAAATTACCTCACAGATTATGCTTTATAAAAGAGAAATTACTGCCAGTCCACTAGGTAAAATATAGGAACAACCTGTCTCTGGAGTTAAAGATGGAGATTTTAAAGGGATGTTGTTGAGTGTACATTACATTTATTGTGAAAAGCCTCTACTACCCCTGGATTCCCTTTTAGAATACATTTATCTCAAGGAGACAGACTTTGTTCATGGTTTTCTAAGTCGCTTTGCTTACATCTTACAAGGTTTTTTGTACCTGAGCAGGTCAGCACATTGTGCGTTGACAAACACTGGAGGCTAAACAACGATCTGCGATGGATGGTAATTCACATACAAAAAAAAAAAAAGACTTAAAAAGGTAGGAACTAAAGGGTGTGCACATTTTCATTTTATTATATGATGTTTAATAACTGTCCAGTACATAACTTCCCTACCAGAAAATATTTATCTGGGATAAAATGTGATATTATTTTAATAAAATTGTTATTGAGGGTGTTCAGGTGGTGCAGTGGTTAGCGCGCCCGACCCATTTACAGAGGCTTTAGTCCTCAATGTGGTCGACCCGGATTCGAATCCGACCTGTGGTCCTTTGCCGCATGTCCCTCCCCCTCTCTCATACCCCTTTCCTGTCAGCCTACTGTCGAAAAAAACGAGCCACTAGTGCCGTAAAAAAGTGTTATTGAAGGTATTATCTTCATAGACTGATCGATACAAGATTTTTCTTTTGAGGCCGATACTGATTATTTTGAAATCAGTCTAACTGACCAATTTGCAGGGCTGATGCTTTTGCCGTCCCATTTATTTGGTCCCTGGCCACACTGAAAACCAGTTAACCCATTAGTCGCTCCTCAGATGTGACCAGCTCCCTTAATGGTCATTTTGTTAACCAAGTATGTGAGTTTAACCAATTAAAGAGTTTAACTGCTTTCCAGTGTGCTCTGGAACCAGAAGGATCATGGAAAAGGTAAATTAACTGGGTAAAATGTAATTTCAATAAGGATTTGAAAATGCAAGCTAAAAAAAAGAAACGGAAACGGAATGAGAATTAACCTTTTTAAATTTCTGATTACAAAAGTTATTTATGATTCAATTCAGTTTATTTATATAGCGCCAATTCACAAGACATGTCATCTCAATGCACTTTACAATTCAACCAGATCATACAGTAAAATTGATTTAAAGAAACACTATATCAGGGTTATGAATTTAGTTGTTTAAATATCCAATTAAAAATAGGATTTGAAAATAAATTTCAAATTCCATTATATAATAATATGTTAATACATACTATTCACAGTTCCTCTTAATAATTAGATTTAAATGTATTATTGGAAAATGCTTTTCAAATTGAATGATTCAAATGTTAAATTTGAAATGGCTGCTTTTCTTTTTCAGTGACTCTCTGGGCCCTCCATACTAGAGTGCCTGAAGAACTCATTTGCAGATTACAAGAAAATCGTATTACTCAAAAAGATCCTTTAAGATGTTTAGCTTGTACTTAAAAGGGGACATTTCAAAGTTTCAAATAATTTTTTTCAGGAATATTCTTAAGTTTATGGAAACAACCTCAATAGATTCTTAAAAAGATAAAGATGGAGGAAGTCTTGTGGTCATGAAACTAATCTAAACATCTTTATATATCGGCCCTTTATTTATCCCATTTGACTTGTCTCTCGGTGCACGGAGGTGCTGGAAAAATACTCCAATGCCCAACCTGTCATTCCTTGGTGAGAATATAGAACATAGTAATTACCTATTGCAGTGTTCTGTGACAAAATTATGACACATGAGGCCAGGGTGGGGTTAGTGGGGGCAAAGAACATATAACAACAAGCACTCAAAAAAAGAACAAAAACAAAAAAACAACACAATGCAAGAGTGCACTATTTAGTTCATTAAGTGAGCCACACAACCAAGGTTACAAACTCCTAATCTCCAGAGGAAAACTGATCATATCTTAGTGCGACTGAAGCTTAAAGCCGATTGCATTTTCCTAAATAATTGTTAAAGTTAACTGTAAAAGCCAAATATGGAGCAAAGGCCAAAACAGTTGGGGTCTCTTCCGTCAGCGCCATGTCATCGTGAGAAATCAAAATAGTATCTAACTGCAACAACTGATCTATAAAAGTAAAAGTATCTTAAACTAAGTGTAATTGTCTTTCATATGAGCAGGTAAATGAGGTGATCTGCCAAAGGAAGGAGGATAATGGCTTTTTTTATTTTTTTTATCTTAAACATAAATCATCTTGTTCCATTTTCAAATTCCCTAACTTGGCTGCTCAAATTACGGGGAAAATACATTTGTCTAAAGAAAAATAGACTTAAATATTAACATTTTGCTATGTTTTTCAGTACAGGGGCCACAGTAGGAGCCAGTTCTATGGGAGCATTGTCCCCTGCTGACCCCTGACTAGAACCGCCCATGGTGTCTACTAACTTTGATGTAAGGCAAAGAAACCAATTCCGTTTTCTGTCCTTGAAACCAGATCAACACCCAAGGTCCGTGCCTAACTGTGCGTGATGAATCAACCAGACGTTATCACTGTCCTGTTGCCAGTGAACTCTAGGTTAAACTCTGTTGACCTTATCCCTGAGTTTAAATATCTTTAGAAGGTGCTCCTGAAACTTAGCCAACTGTGGGGCCACTCTGGAACCCACGATTTGATAAAAGTTTAAATTGGTTTCTATTTAGAAGCTGCAGTATTATGAGCTATAAAAACTGGTTGATGCAAAACTTGCTGCTTGTTTCTTGTGAAGCAACACTGTTTGACAAAAGACCAGCTTTTTCTTGTAAAGCAACCCTTTCGCTGTAAATCAGTAATTCCATTGGCTTTTATAAGCTTTATTGCCATACTTTCCGGAGAAATGACCAAATCATCACTGAGAAGGTGCCAGCCGGGCGTGTTGCAGCTTGATTAAACATAATACAAAGGGAGTATTTGGCAATCAGGGCAATATTCATTGTCTTCTATTACCTTTGCAGATAACAGTTAGTCACTGGATTCATTTTCAAAGTCACATATCTAAATGACGTTGCTTTGTGAACTGGGACTTACACATATATATATATATATATATATATATATATATATATATATATATACTATTTTTTGTCAGGTTGTCTTTGATTTTACAAAAGCAACAGCATTATTCATTTATGAACTATAATTTCATCATCGATAAAGACACTTTGTATATCTATTTAGCTGTTTATAAAGGTTTTGCCTATAACTTAGACGATGCAGTTAAACTATCAATAGCTGAAAAATAGATAGATTTATGGAAAGAATGTAAAAACACGCCGTCTAAGAAGAGATTTTAAATTGCAATATATATAGTTTATGATACATTAACGGTGATTTAATAATAAATGTTATAATGCCATAACTAAAGCTAAGACGTGACATTTATTTAGGTCAGTAAACAAGAATATCAACTTCAATTCTTCTCATGTTCCGGTTTAGGTGGTGGGGGGGACGATTCATCTCGCTTTACTTCGTGTAGATTTCTAACTAGAAATGGACAAAGTGAGTCAATCAAAGCAGAAACTCACCTGACGTTTAAATGATGGACAGCTGACGGGGCTAACACAAACACACAACACTTCCACACTAACTTCTCACTAAATAACGCTAAAAACACAAAGAGAGGCCAAATACTTGTCTGAGTCTTTGCACAATCAGGAGAAAAAACAGACTAAGCCTCGTTTTGAGGATGAGCGTGAGAGGAAAATAAAAAACGCAACATTTTTCTTTTTCTCCAACACGATCAGCTAGTTAGCATTAGCGATAGCCTTGTATTTCCTCTTCGTTCATTTCCGGCCTACTAAGGAGCAGGAGGCGTTCTGCTGCCACCCTGCAACCGTGTTAAGAATTACACCTCCATTAGATTCCAATTAGACTTTTTTNCAACCGTGTTAAGAATTACACCTCCATTAGATTCCAATTAGACTTTTTTGAATTCCAAATGACGATATATATATATATATATATATATATATATATATATATATATATATATATATATATATAAATCCTCATTTTGATTTATATCTGAGTTAAGTTAAATGTTTAAGGAAATTAATGACAAACCCTTTAAGGTGAAAAGGATTCCCCTTGATGCTGGCATATTTGCTACACTTCAAAAAGAGCATGTCCTTATTATTATAATTCTTTTTTTGATTGTTTGTTTTTTGTTAATCTACTAAGTCTTCATATCCTCTTTTCTAAAAATTCCAGATCCACCATATATGCAGAGGCACCAAGTAACAAAGTACAAATACTTGGTTACCTTAATTAGAAACTGTGGTTATTTATACTTTACTGGAGTATTTTTTTTTTTTGACAAATTTTTACTTCTCCTTATATTTCTTTGCAATTATCTCTACTATCTACCCCTTACATTTAAAAAATAGAATTGTTACTTTTGTTTCTTTTCAAGCCCATTCTTACTATGGCTGTTGGTATTTAAAAAAGACAAACTAAAAACCATCAAAAATAATTAGTTTTATGCTGACAATGAATTTACTTGTGGTTAAATTTGGTGCTGTAGCAACTTGTTTGCCACGTTCCAAAATAAATAGTTCTTCAAAATGCTCAGTTACATTTGACACTGCTGCGATTAGTTATAAAACTAAAATAATCTAGTGTTGAAGAAAAATTATCCTTTAATAGGCTAGTGCAGTAAAGCATCTGTCCACAACATTTTCTGCATTTCTGCAGGGTTTTTTATTATTATTATTCTTGTTCAAACCAAAAAATTTTGTCTGCTTTTACTTTGGCTGTATCACTGCTTGAGTTGGATGTTCATTCCCTTCAAAATCTGCCCAAAGTTTGAAAGCTAACTGAACCCCTCTTATGCTCTCCCATCTCTACTAATAATGATGCCATTGGCATTGATCTAAAAACTCCTGTAAACCTTAATATAGCCTGATATGAAATAGTATTAAATGTTTCTAAGAATGTGTTTGAAGCTGAACAATAAATAATACTCACATAATCTAAGACTTATTTAGTCAATTTTGCATATATACCATCTAATATCTTCAATTATCTTCAGTCATTATAATGAATTTTCTTATTTTATCTCTGAATTTTGGAATGTGATTTCCATATTGTTCTTTAATCGGACCAGATGCCAGGAAACTAAAATTTAACTATGAACTTCCTTCTCCCTTAACTGGCAACTGGCGTGCTAGATATTACTTACATTTATACTTCAGGGAATACCTGTATGAATCAAATACTGTTAATTAATCCTGCATTTATAAGATATGTCATTTAATGATTCCTGATGGGTTTTTTTTTTAAATATAATTTTCCTAATAAATGACTTGGATTTTCCCTCCTTACTTGGAACTGCTGTTATTAATTCACTGTCTGCTCTACACTTAATTCATTCTGTCTAATCATACTCAACAGTTTCCAACTGATTACAACAACTACAAATCCCTTTTTTTTATGATTTCTTATTTTGAGAAGCTCCATGTGTGTTGATAGCAGCAGCACAGCTGACATTTCTTTCTGGGATGGTGTCACTGCCACAAGGAAACAGACCAGAAGAAGCTACAAATGACAAGAAAAAGTGGATGGTTATTAGTGGAACTAACAAATGCAAAATGGGGCATTAGAGATAGAATAAAACAGAATTATACAAAAGTCCTCCAGCAGCCCAAATTAATAGCAGCATAAATAGAAAATATGTAAGGATCACCAACTATTTTTGATGAGGCATGAGAAAGGTAGAGCCAAGTTCAAACTTCTTTCTGAGCTGAATTCTCCCCCATTGGATTGGGCAGGAAAGTCTTGATCGCAGTCTAAAATGTAATCAGGGTGTCTGCCTCACAAACTAAAACAGGACATTTGTTCCACAGGAGAGGAGCCAACAAATAGAAACATCAAATTAAAATTGATTTAAAACGAAAGTTTGTTAATCTCTAAGTAGCTACTGGGTTATTGGTTCAGATAAATACTAATCCATAATGGCCCCTAGTGCTAAGAACTTTTTCACTCTCAGTGTATTTGTAAAACAAATTCAAAACCATCAGTTCAGAATTTAGAGGTAATTGAAACCAATAATAAAAAAATGTCATATCTAAGATGAAATTAAATTTTGGTCTGACAGATTTGTAATAATAGGAATAATTTAGTGGCAAAGCAACCACCAATATACTGAGGCTACTAGCGCTCAGTGCAGAAAAGGTTCAACTCCTAACCTTGATGCTTTTCCTGCATGTCATCCTTTGCCTGTCTTGTCCAATTGATGTCAATAAAGGCCATTAATGCAACAAATTTTTAAAGCAACCATCATTTTAAAATGTTCGTTTAATGTCAATAGTAATCATAATCCCCAAATTGTCAGACCATCGGATTAACTTCGATGACCCTAACTTTCTGTTTAATCAAAACAGAAACCAAAGGATCAAAGGCTTTTCTTCCTGTGGTGTGCCTTGTTAAAAAATGAAACAATAACAGCATATAATCATGACTGTCATAAAGAATTGTAAGAAACCATTTATCCTCCCATAGCGTCTGTGGTTCATGCTTTCTGAATAGGCTGACCAGGGCCTACAATGAAGAATGCAGACAGTGAAGTTTACCAGCTCTGTACATTTGGTTTCATCTTTTGAAATGAGGACCTTTGATTTCATATGTGTCTGACAACAATTGTGAGAACTGGCTTGGATTTAGCTGGAGTGGTTTTAGGTTTAGCCACAGACTAATTGTTGGGGCCTCGGGGGGTTTGCTTTTTTTCAGGTGTGAGTGAGCTTCCTGTCACAGAAAGAATGGTGGCTGGGCTGACCCATGTTCCTACACACCTGAGAACAATTCTCAGTCAAGATGGCTAGCGTGTATATAAGCCATCTCTCTTTACCCATAAGGGTTAGACATCCACCTAAACCAGGAATATCTTTCCTGTTGAAATTTGTCTTTTTGTTTATTTCTTTTAATGTGGATTCTGCAATTGTTCCAGACAACCAGTGAACCTCAGTTCATCTCTGATCTTTATGGAAAAGGTGTCAGGTTTGGTGGAAGTTAGTAGAAAAGGACCCAAATGCAGAGATGAAGAGGCAGAGATGTTTTCTTGCAGATTTAATTTAGATGTAGATGGAAACAGAAGCACCAATCCAGGAATATTAAACAGCTAACCAAAACTCTGAGATGCCAGGGAGAAACATACATGAGAAGTGAAGTAATGAAGAGAATACAGCAACGAGGAACTGCAACAGGAGGTGTATATATGAGAGACAACATATGGGCTAATCAGCTGATAGGGAGCAGGTGTGGATAGAAGCAACTAGAAGGGAGCTAGGGGAAAGGAGACTGGCACAAGGGGGCAACAAAGAGTAACTCAAAAAATACAACAATGATTAAATATAACTGGAAAACAACTACAGTAACACAAAATGGAAAAGAAACCAATGACCAGGAAAACACAGAATGATATAAATCAAAGTGTAACTGAAAACTCCAAAAGAAACTTAAACAGAACCAAAAAGGGTCTTACCTGTGTTCAATTGGAGTTCCCGCTCTCCAGCATAAGGTCTCTTTCAAGTAACGCACTCAGATCTCACATTCTCCTGGACCTCTGGTGTAAAGTCTACAAAGCACACTGGCTCTGTTTGAAAACCTGGGCTGCATCCTCCAAGGACGCGGTCTGGATCCTTCGAAGACTGGATACTTCAAAGTCCTTGAAAAATAAGGAGACCGGAAGAGTTTTGGCTGTGAAATCAAACAGGTCTACCCTTCGGCAGGTTTTACCGCGTAAGCTCTATTGCTTAGCAACCGTGAAAGTTGACTCAAAAAGCAGGAAAAGAATGAAAACTGAAGTTTTCAAAACTGTTTGTTTATTTATTTAGTTTTTATTGTAAAGTGAACAAGGACTACATTAACAAGAATCCAGAGTGGAATAAAGGTTCCAACCACCGGGAGCAGGAACAAATCAAATCAAATGTAATGATAGAAACCTTAGTCAGTTAAATAACATGCTGCTGTCATTCTGCACATCTCTGATGTTGCTGCTATTTTCAAATATCCATTACTGTAGAAATGTCCATAGCATATTATGGGTATTTATTCCCCAGTTTTATATTTAAAACGCCCTAAAAGTATTTTATTGTTCATATTTTAACTCTTCCCTATTATGTTATTCCTATACATTTTTGTAAGGTCCACATTTGTGTGTCCACTTTCAATAATCTTTCTGCTGCTGTAAATTTGCCCATTGTGGGACAATAAAGGGATTTTCTATTCTATTCTATAAAAGGGGTAGAAAGATATAAGTAAATCTAAACAATGTATGTATAGAAATATATCTGCAAAATCTCTAATATTCAACAACAAAAAATACTTAGTTAAGCATATTGTACAAAACAGCAATAAAAAAATAAAAATCCTATCAGATTTATAGTCCCCACCCTGCAGATATATTAGAATCTGTCCTTAAATTACAGCCAAACCCATTTACACAGTAACAGATTAAAACCTTTAGATAAATCAAACATTACAGCCACATATCTGACTCAATAACCATTAAAACAACTTTTTTCATTAATCTCAGACGGAACTATTCACTGACTTGTATTATATTAAACTAAACTTCCAATTTTCACCACTGCTCGGCGCCAAGTAACCAAGTGACCTCGGCACCGCGCTATGACGTAATCGGCCTTCGAATCTGGCCTTCTAAGGACGCGTCCTAGGTTTTCGAACAGCGCAACTGAATCAAACCCCTACAGATCCATCCTGCCTCCCCTTCATCCCTCAAGTAAGCAAGTCAGTCACATTGGTTGTCACCAACCAACTCCTTCCTGATC